GTGTTAATTTTAAAAAAGTGGGGGGTGGGGGATATTTACAGGGAGTGGGGATAGAAGGGGATTCTTTGTTTCAGTAAGTGTTTTACGTCATTTGCAACACAATAAGGTCATAGAAGTGCCGACGATTAGAGGTGATACAAGAGAGCAATAAACACACAAAAGAAGGAGGAGAGACATGCGAAAGCTTAATGTTTGATAGGAAAAAAGGAGTAAACCACACCAGAACACCAGCCAATCAGCCATCCCGAACAACTGTGACGTTCGGTACGAAGAATTGGTGACGTTAACTTTTTGCCCCTTTGCTTAGTTAGTAGATTTGGCCGAGTTTTACGGCTCTTGTAATACTTTTGCTTTGAATAATAAATGTTTAATGACGTGATGGAATCAGGCGCTCGTCATTTTTGGGGCATGTGGATAGATGAGTGGGTTTTTGTCCCACAGAAAGTAAGGCAAAAGAATAAGCTTTCATCTATCTTAAACAGAAAACGAAATATTTGCGCTTAAAAGAGATGGGGTATTCCCTGGTTTCAGAGGTAAAGTTAGCAAGAAAATGGCCGCCCAAGTTTGGTAATTTATAATCTATAGCTGGAGAGTCCTTGAAAACTGAAAAAGTATGTATTTTATGCCATTAATCAACGTTTTTCAGCAACATTCTCACGGAAATGTGTGTGTGTTTGAGTGTATGTGTGTGTGTGTGTGTGTGTGTGTGTGTGTGTGTGTGTGTGTGTGAGAGAGAGAGAGAGAGAGAGAGAGACAGAGAGAGAGAGAGAAAGAGAGACAAAGAGAGAGGGAGAGACAGACATAGAGAGAGTGTGTGTGTGTATGTGTGGGGGTATGAATGTGTCTCTGGACAGAAAAGGTGTTGACCCAAAAAATATCTAAAAATCGACAAAATTGCCAAAGTGGAGGGAAAATGACTGGGTTTGTTTGTTTGTTTGTCTTGGTTCTTCTTCCAATTTCCTTATTCTGACGGGCGCCTGATTTCACCACGATATCTCCCAAATGCCAGTACCAGCTGCAGAACACAAGTGTTTGTTGTGTCAGTAATCGGATAAATGAGCTTACCCAATGGAGGACGGAACCAAATTCATTAGAAACATGCCGCAAGAAATGCCTACCTTTACGAAATGACATGACTTACGGGGAGGTTTCATGGTGCAAAACTCACTTGACGAGACGAAAGGTAAGTGAATGAATCAACAGCCTTTCTACGGCTACTCCTTGGCTCCTCCTTACTGCTGTCCTTCAGCCACACCCCTGATCTTCTGGTAGAAATGATCTACACCTAGCCTTCTCGGACAAGGGCAAAAAATCTCGGAGGTCCTGTGTGCAAGTTGCGCACGTTAAAGATTTCTTGGTGGTTCAAAATCGATAAGAATAGGCTTCGGCCACCACCCGGGCAAAATTAAAAAAAAACTTCCTACCAACTCAAAACGTTTAAGGTGTACCTCGCGCTCATATGACCTTCTGCTTTTGTGGGCGCCGCAAAACACATACCGAAAAAAAAGTTAATGAAGCAAAACTTACATTTTTACCTGAGATTTTCAATGACTAACAAGAACATAAAATCTCTCCCTGAGGAGGAAAAGACGGGGTGGGAGAAGGGAGAGGGGAGAATGAAGGCCGACGACTAATGTTAGATGGTAATTTAACTGACTTGAAACGAGAGTGGGGGAGAGGGGTATGGGGTGGAACTGTGGGGGCTTATGAGTGTGTGTATGTGTGTGTGTGTGTGTGTGTGTGTGTGTGTGTGTGTGTGTGTGTGTGTGTGTGTGGATGGACGCACTCAAACGAATAGTCGTTGGATGGAGATACAACATAACGTTACTCTCGTACAACTGACATTCAATTTGGACTTTGACTGCGAGAGAAATGAAATCTTATACACATTCACAAAACGAAGTTCTCATAGTTGATCAATACGATAACCACTCGTGAGGGATTGGGG